TGAAAAACAGAGATGTAGCACCACCTAAGGAGAACAGAATAGGTATCAGAAGTCTGGCCCACTCTAGCTCTCCTTGAACTACAACTCCCATTGTTCCCAGTAAAGCTACCAAGGATGATAAAAATGAAATCCAACAACAACTTCTGAAAGGCCACAGGTACCCCATCCCTTTGACCTGGAGAAGGAATTTTAACTTCTCTATGGAGGCCCTCCTAATTAAGGCCAGGATTTATTTATATATAATATATATTAGATTAGGCATCCTTCAGTCTTGAGAGATGATGGTAACGTGCTCTGTATGGAGGACTTGGAACAGCGTCTACTGTGGCTGAGAAGGCCAATTTGAGAGTGACCATCCCTTCCACAGCTTCCCGATTTTGCTGCTTTCAGGACTGCTTCCTGGCCTCGGCCTGCTGGACAAGGGTCTCTTCAAATTGGGAGAGGCCGTGATGCAACGCCTGCCTCCAGGCTGAATGCTCAGAGGTCAGGGTTTCCCATCTGTTGAGGTCTATTCTTAAGGCCTTCAGATCCCGCTTGCAGATGTCCTTGTATCATGGTCTCCCTCTGGGGCGATTTCCCTGCACTAATTCTCCATACAGGAGATCTTTTGGAATCTGACCATCAGCCATTCTCACAACGTGCCCAAGCCAATGTAGACGTCGCTCTTTCAGTAATGTATACATGCTAAAAATTCTAGCTTGTTTGAGGACTACTCTATTTGGAACTTTGTCCTGCCAGGTGATACCTGAGACAACACATATGGAAGGTGTCCAGCTTCCTCTCCTGCCGTGCATGAAGGGTCCAGGGCTCACTGCAGTACAGGAGTGTGCTCAGGACACAGGCTCTATAGACCTGGATCTTGGTCTATGCCATCAGCTTCTTATTGAGCCATACTCTCTTACTGAACAAATCCTACCTCTATGCCAAACACCTGTTATGCTGCTTGAGATGGACCCTTCATCAATTCCAAAAGCCTCAGTGCCTACCGGGGGAAAACCCTACCTCAATCTCAAACATCTCGGATGCTGCTTGAGGCAAACCCTACCTGAATGCCAAACGTCTCTAATGCTACTTCGGTCAAACCCTACCTAAATGTCAAACACATCTGATGCTGTTCCGGATGAACTCTACCTCAATGAATGATGCCTCAGTGTCTGTTGTTGGCAAACCCTACCTCAACGCCAAACTGCTATGATGCTGCTTGGGATGAACCCTACCTCAATGCCAAATGCCTCAGTGCCTGCTGGGCAAACCCTTCCTCACTCTCAAAAGCCTCTGATTCTGCTTGGGGCAAACCTTACCTCAATGCCCAACACCTCAGTGCTTGCTGGGGCAAATCCCTACCTCATCCCCAAACGTCACAGTGTCTACTGGTGACCTGTGCTGCCAAAATGCCAAATGCTCGTGGCCTACACCGCCAAAATGCCAAATGCCTTATGGAGGCAAACCAAACTATCTCAATGCCAAAGGTCTCTCATTCTGCCGCGGCCAAACCACATTGCCTTAATATCATCCACGTCTTTGACTTGTGGAAAAGTTTGCCAGCTGGCTCTGGCACTTTTCTGTGGGGGTCCCAATCTGAGTTTGAATAACCCAGGTGTCTGAAACCCAATCTTTACCAAACTTGGAGGGCTTTTTTGATGGAAGGCATAGGAGGCTTCTGTGTAATTTAGGATTCTCTAAATACCTGGGAGAATTTTCCTAGGAGCTTTTCCCTTTTGGCTATAATCACTGAACTTCTCCAAACTTGCTGGGTTTGTAGAAAGCAGTCTGAGGAAGTGTACCCTGAAACTTTGGTGTCTCTAGGTGCCTGGGACCCTATTTTATGACATTTTAAACTGAAATATAAATTTGTCAATTCGTTGATTTGTCCAAAAATATTCGTAAATACATATTCGGTCAATTCGGTGATATAGATTAATTATGAATCACAATGAATCACTATTTTTAAAATTCATCCCCAGCTCTAGTGGAGGATACATCAGTCAATGAGATCAGAATGCCAGATCAAGCCATTTGCAACCTGATCTATAAGAGTATTTGCTTTTAGAGCTAATTGCATAAGAGCCGCAGCTCAGCAACAGAAATGTGGTATAGCATGGAAGCAACCACAACAGAACAGTGTCCTTCCAATACATGGTCTCTTTTCTTGTGGACCTTCCGAGGGAGGATTAAATCAGCAACATTTATAGTGCAGCCTTTCTCACTCAGTAAGAGCCATTTATTTGAGTGGGACTTATTCTCTGATTGTTTTAGATGGGATTGTAGATGCTTCTTAATGAATGGGTCCTTCCCGAGGGAGGGAATTTTTCCCCAGCTCTGAAAAGACAAGAAACGGGAAAGGAAACAGGGATATCATAAAGTCTAAAACCATTCTTTGCCCATGTCAGCAGCTCTCAAATGATTTTGGACACGTACAGGTTCTTCTAAGAGGGACCAAGCAGATATCTGTCGAGCTCAAGGAGGAAGATGTTTTTATGGGAAATGTGTCGGAAATTATACGCAACGCGGATACTGTACCCCTCGCAGCGTTTGCTGTTTTAGGTGAGTTCAAAGAACTGCAGATCAAAACAGGAGAATCCATTTGCTGTCCATTGGTGAGCAGATATCTCACCTAAACCTTGAACTCTGTGGGGGACATTATGGTCTGCTCAAGCTAGCTTTTCCCCTTGCCACCAAATTGTGTAGTGACCCCAATTCCCTTTACATCTACATTTCCAGGCAGCAGGTCAATGGCCACTATATGTATAGAATCCACTTTCATTTTTTTTTATATATGCCATTAAATCATATCCAAGGCATTTGAGATATTTAAGGCATGGCATTACTATTTTCTCCCCCTAGTGGGTTTACATGTCCAAGCAGGATTGCAAACTCAGGTGTCCTGTTGGGGTTAGTAATCACAAGCTATTAACAAGCTTTAATTGTTTGTGATTACTAATACTATTAACAAGGTACCTTTTTGCAATGATAGCTGTCTTATTGATACATTTCAACTGCTTTTAATAACTTGAGGAAAGAAATGAATAGTAAGTTGATGACAGTGGCATAAAATTTGCCAATTTAATGACAAAATGTCTCTTAAAGATCTAACGATGAATGAAAGAGGGATGTTTAAAATGTCTCTAAAAGATCTGACGATGAATGAAAAAGGGATGTTTAAAGCAATTGGATGTGATGCCTGAGACACACACCTCCAATCTGCCACCCTTCCCAAACACTGTCATATTTTTAAAATGTAACTTCGTTATGCTCTCCTTATCAAAGCAAGTGATGTTTTGCAGGTAACTAGATTACTAAACTAGAAAACAGACATTAGAGATTGCCTGTAATTAAAGATGAAAGTGCGTTAACGTTGTAGAGAGGTGACTGAAGCAGTCTTTTTTGTATTTGTGAAGTCTGCCTTCAAAGAATTTTGTGTTTTAATCTTGAACACTCTTCACAAGAAACTTAAGCTATTTTGCATACTCCTGAAGAGACATAAAAGGATGACCCAAAAAGATTAATTAAACTCAAAGTGGATTGACTTTTTTCTTTCTTTTTCAAATTTTATCTGGGAGAGGCAGATTTACAGTCCCCCCAAAATTATGTGTTATCACATGGATATCAATATATTTGGTTTGAATTATATTCAGAAAAAAGTCTACTTTGAATATGTTTCCTTTCACTTTTTATGTAAATGTGATGTGGGAGTCACAGGTTACTTGTCTATTAAAGAAGGTGGTCGTGACTCAAACCACAGGACTAAAGGCGTAGGGGTTTTTTATTTTTATTTGGAGATGTAATTATGACAGTTCCCACTAGCCTCTTGTTGGCTGCTGTCTCATCCGAAACATTTCTTCATATAATCCTTGTGGTCTTGTATATTTACCAACAACTGTGCACTCTTTTCGATTCAGGAAGAGGTGGATATAATGTCTCAGCTGACAAGATCATCATAGCCTGCTCCACTGCCCACCTCTCAAGCTCCACCCTCAGAACTTTCTCCAAATGAAAGAATTATCAAATGTTCTTCAATTAAATGCTGCAAAATTCATCTTTGCTTTCCATGCATTAAACTGCTTTGCTTAATAAAAGCCACAATGCAATGCACATGCCTCACCATGCATGCTTCTTAAGTCTGAAAGAGATGGGACATGGTTGCTATCTTATCTCTGCAACAGGAGTTGGGGCTGGTTGGCCAAACTGGTGTCACCCTTTGCTTTACTCACAAGGTACCTCTGTGTTTTATATGCCACACAGACTGACCAACTACAAGCAACACACACACGATCGATCGATCGATCGATCGATCGTCCGTCCGTCCGTCCGTCCGTCCGTCCGTCCGTCCGTCCGTCCGTCCGTCCGTCCGTCCGTCCGTCCGTCCGTCCGTCCGTCCGTCCGTCCGTCCGTCCGTCCGTCCGTCCGTCCGTCCGTCCGTCCGTCCGTCCGTCCGTCCGTCCGTCCGTCCGTCCGTCCGTCTATTGTTTGTTTGTTTGTTTGTTTGTTTGTTTGTTTGTTTGTTTATTTATTTATTTATTTAAACATGTTGTTGTTGTTACATGCCATCAAGTCACCTCCAATTCATGGCAACCTTATGAATGAGCAATCTTTAAATATCCCTATCTTCACCTGCCCTGCTGAGCTCTTGTAGACTGAAGCCTGTGGTTTCCTTTAGGAAATCGGTCCATATCATATTTGGCATTTCTCTTTCCCTGCTGCATTCAACCTTTCTCAGCATTATGGTCTTTTCCAGAGAATTCTGCCTTCTCAGGATGTATTAGGTCTCCCCCACTTTGCAGGTAGGTATGCAAAAGGGACCCCACTCAGCAAGACATCAAGTGCTGGATTCCTCCTGTCATTCTGTCCGTACACCTGATCACCTTGGTCTGCATACCCAACAAAATGAGTGAACAGAGCACAGCTTGATATACTGTTACACAGTTGCACAACATTCCCTTGTCCTCTGATTGGTGGCCATTTTATGTCTTGGCAGAGCAAGAGAGTGCTATTAGTCTGTTGCACTGCTTTGTTTTTCAGGGATTAGGAGGGGGTGTTGAATTTTTTTCCTCTTTTATGTAGCTGCAGATCTCATTTTGCATTACACATTAGAATGCAATCAGCTGAGCACTTAAGGGGATGAATATTCCATGGTTGATTTGGGTTTTCATGGAGGTTGCTGAAGCCACAAACACGGCCAGGAAGCTTAGATGACCTTTGCCTTTTTTTATTTCCCATTCCTGCTCTCCTAGAACAACAACAGCAACGAGAAGCAAAGTGTGCTGCTTATATACCACCCCATAGTGCTTAAAGCACTCTCTCAGTGGCTTACAAGTTAATTATGAAGGCTACTTCTGCACCATACTAACTTCAGCCTTTGAGAAGACCTGTATCTGTGCCTAATCAGAACACAGTCGGACGCATTTATCTGTCGGATTCACTTATCCACTATCTAAAAATATTGAAAATGTGAAAAGAAAAATCCCCAAAAGGATATATTTAATGATGTTTGTTGCACAGGGTGGAAAAAAACAAACAAACAAACAAACAAAAATGCCATGCTTTTAACACAAGAGTGTATCTACACAACATGTTTTGTTGGATGATGACAAGAAGCCATCCAGGAATGGGTGGATTGGCACTCCCAGCTTCTCTCATCGCTGACTGCCACATCTTTCCCCACTCCAACCCACTCCCAGTTTTGATGAACAAGGTATGACAATTTTGAATCCTCATTCCACTGCAGAGTCACTGAGTGGCCAGAACTTGATGATCTTCTTTTGGCTTCTCCTACAGGCTTCTTGGAAACATTAAATATAGTAAAGAAATTACAGTGGGGTCTCGACTTACGAACTTAATTCATATTGGAAGGCAGTTCTCAGGCCGAAAAGTTCTTAAGTCGAATCTGCATTTCCCATAGGAATGCATTGAAAACCATTTAATCCGTATCTGCTCTTTTCGTCCATAGAAACTAATGGGAAGCTGCTATTCCGCCTTTTGTCACTAGAGGGGGACATTTTTTCTTTTTTTCTTTTAACTTAAGATGACTTAGCTTTAAAAAAAGGGGGGAAAGTTCGTAACTCGAATCTAAGTTCATAAGTCGAGTCCATATATCCCTATGAGAGCGGTTCGTAAGTCGAAACTTCGTATGTCGAGCTGTTCGTAATTCGAGACCCCACTGTATTAATTCTGACTTTAAGGCAACTCTTAACAGGGTTTTTCAAGTATAAAGCACTGAGAAATAGTTTCCAACCCCCTTCTTCTGGGGGCAACTGGGAACCTTGCACTTTGCCCAAGGCGACACAGGCTGGCTCTTCTGCCAGGAGGCATAGTGGGGAATTGAACTCCTAACCCCTAACTTCACAAGTGTTGGCCTAGCTTGGTAAGCAGCAAGGAAATTATTGGCCATTGGAACCAATGAGCAATTGAGGGGCAAAAGCTAACTCTCAGTTTGCTGAGCGAACACCCAACAGTTGGCATGTTGAAATTAGATCCACAGACCTAGGAATACTCCTCCTGTTGGCACAGTATGTCACAATCACTCAGCCTCTTATAAATATAGATCAGTTCCAGGTAAGGTCAAATCTTGCTCTCCCTTCATCTTAGCAGATATTAAAATTCCAGAAAAGGGATAATAATTAAGGTCTTTTACCTGTTCCGCATGCTGTGCCGCATAGCAGCCTTCTTTCCTTCAGGTAAGTGGCATTTAAATTGAGGCAAATCCAATCTCTGTTATGATATTTAACCATATACTGTTTTTTAAAAAAATGTGCTTGGACTCTGCCTAAAGATAATGGAATAGGTCTGGGAAACATGGCACAGTCCCAGCCTTCCTTGAACTACAACTCCCATAAGTCCTGGTAAAGATGCTTAAGGATGATGGAAGTGAAATCCCACAACTTCTGAAAGGTCAAAGCTACCCCCCATCCCTTAAACTTGGGGAAGGAGTTTCCTTTTTGAGGCAAATCCAATCTCTGTTATGATATTTAACCATATACTGTTTTTTAAAAAAATGTGCTTGGACTCTGCCTAAAGATAATGGAATAGGTCTGGGAAACATGGCACAGTCCCAGCCTTCCTTGAACTACAACTCCCATAAGTCCTGGTAAAGATGCTTAAGGATGATGGAAGTGAAATCCCACAACTTCTGAAAGGTCAAAGCTACCCCCCATCCCTTAAACTTGGGGAAGGAGTTTCCTTTCCTTTTTTTTCTACAGAGATCCTTCTAATTATGGCCAGGAGTTTTATTTATTTATTTTGTATCCTATGTAGGCAGCCTTTCTCCCAGTGAGGGGAACTTAAGGTGGCTGACAATGTTAAAGCAAGTAATATTACTGGTTACAGGGATCACATAACCCCTCGGTCACAGCAGTTCCGCTGGCTGCCGATTCAGTTCAGGGCACAGTTTGAAGTACTGGTTTTGACCTATGAAGCCCTAAATGGTTTCGGTTCATGCTATCTCAAGGACCTCTCTTAGCCTTGCCTGGCTGTTGAGATAATCAGGGAAGGCCTTTCTCTTAGTCCCACCAACATCACAGGTGCCTTTTGGTGGGGACACAAAGCAGGGTCTTTTCTGATGCTGCTCCCAGACTTTGGAACTTCCTTCCATGATGGGACCATGCTAACTCCCTCTTTGCTCTCGATGGATTTTGGACACATACAGGATTTACTCAGGGGTGATCTTTGGGTGGGCTGTTTGCTAATGTTCTGCACACCTACTTCCCCAAGCTCCTTGTGGCCTGCATAGCTTGCTAGTTCTTCTGTAATGCATAATGAAAACCTTTACGACCAAGGATTTATATTTTGGACTTGGGACTTAGTACCGAAGACTCAGGCTCAGATGTGGAACCAAAGATTCAGGCTCGGATTTGGGATTCGGACTCCAACGGCTTGCCAACATCCCTGCAAAGACACAGGTTTATTTGTAAAAGTTTTACAGGCCTTTGAAGCATTCTGAAAACCTTGTTTCCTGGTTTACTGTATGAGTGTAGAATGAGCACATACCCTTTGGCAAAGAATGCCTATGGGATCAACCTTTAACAATACAGACAAAGCAATAGACTAGAGACGGACAGAACTGCTTGCCAATCTTTACTGACACAGAAACGAAAACCCTTGAAATCACAAAAGCAAAAGTTGTGGCACCTCAAAGACTAACAGATTTATTTCGGTGTGAGCTTTCATGGATTGCAAAAACTAATCCATTACGTCCGATGCCGTTTTATTTTGAGTTGTCTCGTTGCATTGCTTTCTAGGTACGAAATACTAACAAAAATATATGCTTGAACATCACTGCCATTGTCTGTGAAAGATCCTCCATCAGTTCTATCATCAACTACTTCTTCTGACCTGTAGCTGCCTTCCAGGTATTTCTCTATTGATGGGACCAAGCTAACTCCCTCTTTGCTCTCGATGGATTTTGGACACATACAGGATTTACTCAGGGGTGATCTTTGGGTGGGCTGTTTGCTAATGTTTGTAGAGGATCAGACACACACGAGCCAGCTGTGATACACCACGTTTCTATTGAGAAAACAAAAATATACCAAAACAGACAGCTAGGGCTCCTCTCATAAAGAGTGAGAAGGCCCCCCAAAATACATTGGTTCTGATTTTTTTAACTATTTTTATTTTATTAACTAAAACATAAACATAAACATAAAATACACAAATCAAAATACAATATAACAGTGTTCCCCACCACCGTAGACGGGACCTTATAGCTATATTCCATATTCCACCATTCACCCATTTGAAATTCAGATTTTGATTTCCATTGCCTAGCTATTATTAATCTCGCTGCTGTTAAATACATCGGTTCTGATACATAATATACTGCTTACAAATAGGGAGTCATAAACCTGTGACTGGGCCTAATCTGCAACAAGGTTGGATCCTTGCCCCAATTGGTGTTTGGGCTGTGATCTGATGACCCATTGGTTCTTAACAGGAAATTGAGAATGATGGTGGTCCTAACCTCCTCTTGCTCATTGTCCTGCTAATTTCCAGACATCCTGGCACCACAGATGTGTGTTCCTTATCTATAGGTTGGTGTTGTTCTTCCTGAGGATTGAGGATCTGTTGTGTTGTAAACGGGCTTCTTCACACCTC